CAGGCCGTGAAAACTTAAAGCGGTTTTTTAATGCATTTCTGTCATGCCTTTTACGTGCTTGTACGTTAAAGAGCATATTCTTTTACTTAGTTACCTCGCGAATTCGTGATGAAAAGAGTCAAACGTTTCAGAGAATTTCAAAGCAGAAAATGAGTTTGCTGTGAAACTGCTCGTGTTTCATGGGACGCGCGTTAGTGATGGAGGGAGGCATGAGAAACGCGACAGGACTACTAATGTGTGTTGAAAATCGGTTGGAGCCTTTCTTACACACAAATCATTCCTTCTTATAACATTTATTTTCAGTTAGAAAACAGGATAATAAGACATGAGATAAGAAAAGCGAAGGAAAGGAAAGAAGGGAAAAGAAAGAAAAGAGTACAAAGTGGAAAATGAAGAATGAGAAAATAGCAACCTAATGAATAATGACACAAAACTTATTTTTCAGTTTTTTTCAATCAGCCAGTCACTTAAACATTTTTTTTTCAATCACTGATTTGCGTTGAATGATCAGCAAGTAAACGACAAAACTACTAAATGTTCTTAAATTGGTCTGATTTTCATCTCAGCTCTCTTGGTGGAGTAGTAATAAACTTTCCAGTGACGTCAGTTGACACCATCAGCCACTGACGAGTGTTTTCCGTGATGATACTGACCGGTAAGGTTGGAGTAATAAGAGAGAGAGTACCACCACGCTCCTTTAAACAGCACGGCACAGTTATCATAAAGCGGTTTTTTAATGCTCTTCTGTCATGCCTTTTACGTGCTTGTACGAGAAAGAGCATATTCCTCTACTTAGTTACCTCGCAAGTTCGTGATGAAAAGAGTCAAACGTTTCAGAGAATTTCAAAGCAGAAATAAGTTTGCTGTGAAACTGCTCGTGTTTCATGGACGCGCGTTAGGGATGGAGGGAGGCATGAGAAACGCGACAGGAGTTCTAATGTGTGTACATGTTGAAAATCGGTGGGAGCTTTTCTTACACACAAATCATTCCTTCTTATAACCGTTATTTTCAGGTAAAAGAATAAGATAGAACACGAGACTAGGAAAGCGAAAGAAAGGAAAGAAGAAAAAGGAAAGAAAAGAGCAAAGTGGAAAATGAAGTCAGAGAAAATAGCAACATAATAATGATGACAAAACTTAGTTTTCAGCTTTTTAATCAGTCAGTCACTTCAACATTTCTTTTTCAATCACTGATTTGCGTTGATCAGCAAGTAAACGAGGAAACTATTAAAAGTTCTTAAACTGGTCTGATTTTCATCTCAGCTCTCTTGGCGCGGTACTAGTAACCTTTCCAGTGACGCCAGTTGACACCATCAGCCATTGACGAGTGTTTTCCGTGATGATACTGACCGTTAAGGTTGGAGTAATGAGAGAGAGAGAGTACCGCCAGGCTCCTTTATACAGCACGGTACAGTTACCATTGCTCCAGCTGTCATTATCCTGATCTTTGGTGGTAAAGGGATAACCACGATGATAAGAAAGAGAATCACCAGCAGTTCCTGAAAACAAATCATGAACATTTAACTGCGTAAGATATTTAAGTGTGTTTAGTGCAGCTTTCATCTAGTTTCAACTTTCTATGATAGTTTTGATTAAACTAAAAGTTAATTTAAACAAAGATATGCGAAAATTTACCTGCGTAAGTTCCAAGGCTCAGTTTGTACTTAGTCTTTTCGCTTGTAACTGTAAACATATCGTAATCGGCGTAAGCAGTTTTGCCTGTCGTGTCTTCCAGATTTACTCGAAGTCTGTTCTTTGTGTTCGTCAAGCGGTTTATCTTGTCCAGTCCCAGCCAAAACTTGCCATTCAGGTTACCGAAGCCATTCTTGTAGTCGGCCCAGCCGCGGTAGAAATCAACGGAGCCATCCAATCTCTTCTGGAACACTGTCCACCCCCCACCTGCTGTTGTTTGGTCACAGAACACATCAAAGGCACCTGAACCATCAGGGTCGATTGTATAAACACCGCTGATTGTTTGACC